TCACCAAGAGTTAGTATTGTAACCTAACCTAGAAGACTTCTTCATTTCATTCCTTACAATTCTTAGAAATTAGCTCTACCTTCTCTCTAGAAAAGAAGTGTAGCTTATTCTCCAAGCCAAGTTAAGACCCTTGTCAAGATTTCAAGTTTTGCTTCCAAGATTCAACCTTTCACCTATTTGGGCATCTAGGAGGGTAAGATCTAAGTTTATCTTGTCTTTTTGGTTCCATCTTAGTTGTCTTTTTCTTAAAGGTAGGATCTTTATGATCTTTTGGTTTAATCTTGAAGTGGGTTTGGAAAGTAAGCCTTGTGGGGAGCTTGTTGTGGTGTAGAGTGAAGTCTTTTGGTCTACAAGAGGTAACCCATGCTCTACAAAACCTATTTTGCTTACCTATATGTGATTTCTTGGATGCTACATGTGTTTTGCTATGAAATGTGAGGGTTTATGCATTTATCTTGTGATATTGCATATCTAGAGCTTGTGTTTAGGGTTCCTTTGTGCCATTGCTTGGCATTTTCCATGGTTCAAGTCATTTTGTTGTATTGGGTGAGATTTGGCATGTTTTGGACTTGAATTTGTGTTTGGAGAAGAAAATCCCCGAAGGGATTTGTTGTGGAACAGGAATGTTCCCGCGTGCGGAATGGCGGGCGGGGCACCACCCGCCGGCCTACCCGCGGGTACATAGCCCTGTGGGAATGTGTTCCCGCGGGCGGAACCACGGGTGGGGCACTACCCGTGGGTCCACCCGCGGGTACACGGTGGTGTTTGTTCGGGATTTGTTCCCCGTGATCCGTTTGTCTCGGTATTTGGTCTTTTGACTTCCCGTTGTTCTTTTGTGGAACTATTTGAGCGTCTTCTTGATGTTTCGTATGTCTAGAACTATATGGTAGGTATCCATGTAGGACTTTGGTGTCTTGAATCGTGCTAAGTGTTCAACATATTGTGTTTCGTTGGACCAAGAGGTGTCTTGTGAGTTCCTCGGAACTATCTTGAGTTCCTCGGAACTATCTTGAGTTTCTCCGTTGTTAAGCATGCTAGTTTATTGTCTTAATGCTAGCGTGTGTGTGGTTTGTACCTTCTGTTTGGTTGATGATAACTTGTGTTATTCATCATTGTTGTCGTTTGGTTGTGACCCGTTCCTTGATTGAGTATGTTTCATACCTTCGTTGTAATCCATTGATTGACTCGTGTGAGTGGTGGTGCACTGGAATTCAAAGGAGAACACACTTGAAGATACTCAGGACCTAACGGGTTAGTGCAACGGGGATAGAAGGCCCGCCGTGCACTCCCGTGAAGAGAGAAGGGTGTGGGTGGCGGGCACGAAACCCCCGCCACTCACCCCTGTAACATACCTTGCGAGGTTGTCTCACTGGGGCCAACCACCCGTGACACGTACCCGCAAGGCCAAAAACGGCACAACAGGTAGTAGCCCTCAGCATAAGAAATTCAATGCAACAGTAACGATGTTAATCACTTCATAAGCTAAAATATCAACAAGAAGCTTATCCAAACAAGACCAAAACACCAACAAAACATAAGGAATCAAGAATAGACATCATATCTCAATACTAACACAAAGAACACTCAAGAACAAGGCTTATTTCAAGAACAACATCAAGAATATACTCAAGATTTCAACAAAGACATTCATCATAATATTGGAGTGAGAATAGATTTGTTGGACATGAAAGTTTACCTCTTAGCTAGCAATCTAACCTCTATCTCCAAGAAAGATCACCGTATCATCTCCTCTTCAACTTGATCCTCTAAGAACCCAAAACCCCAATGTAGGAAAAATGAAGACATGCAATAAAGATTGTGAAATAGTGAAGGGAAATGCAAGATGAAGGAAGATCTTACCTAGTCTTATGGTGAAGATGAATAAAAGATAAGTCTTGGTAAGATTTCTCTTGAAGAAGATGGAGATAATTTTCTATTGGGTGGAAGGATGAAAATAGCGTGAAGTAGAGTGGAGCAGGGAGGAAGACAAGTTTAGGATATTTTGGTGAATGTAGATAGGATAACATATTAGATATATGAATTGTATGTATTAGGTTAGAAGGATATACAAATGGGTTATATTATATGGTTCATGGGCCACTTTAGTATATACAAAAATTCAAGGTTCATCTTATATAAGTTGGGCCATCAATAATAAATAATATAAGTAGAATAAGAATACTAAGGTCCAAGAACAATTGGTCTTAGAAGAAATTATGCATATTACATAAATTTTTAGGAATTGGGCTTTAATATATATATTTATACAAGCTAGGGATTTATTTATACTAAAGAAATTTGGCTCAATTGAAGATTTGAAGGAATAAATCCTTTATCAAAATAATTACAAGTACTAATTATAGAATAATTAGTACGGGGTGTCACACTCAGGCTTTTGACCATTGAGCTATGATCCACGCACCATACTCATATCTAAATCTAAAAACTACTCCGTAATAAGTGTGAATTAAAGTTACAGTCTTCATTTATGTTTGTTTTTTCAGTTACTTTTTTTTTTTTTAATATATACATTATGTTATAAGAGTTGTACAATATAATATTTTGGTAAAAAATGCCTCTACCGTTATAACTTCTGTTATATTTTCCAACTGTTGTTGCAATGCACATGCATCCACCATATATTTTCTTATCTTCTTCAATGCTAATAATATATAAACATTATATATTGGAGTACTATATAAGTGATTTTCTAAAATATAAATATCAAATTTATAAAAATGGTTTACATAATAATAATAATAATAATAATAATAATAATAATAATAATAATAATAATAATAATAATAATAAATAATAATAATAATAATAATAATAATAATAATAATAATAATAATAATAATAATAATAATAATAATAATAATAATAATAATAATAATAATAATAATAATAATAATAATAATAATAATAATAATAATAATAATAATAATAATAATAATAATAATAATAATAATAATAATAATAATAATAATAATAATAATAATAATAATAATAATAATAATAATAATAATAATAATAATAATAATAATAATAATAATAATAATAAGAAGAAGAAGAAGAAGAAGAAGAAGAAGAAGAAGAAGAAGAAGAAGAAGAAGAAGAAGAAGAAGAAGAAGAAGATGATGATGATGATGATGATGATGATGAGAAGAAGAAGAAGAAGAAGAAGAAGAAGAAGAAGAAGAAGAAGAAGAAGAAGAAGAAGAAGAAGAAGAGTTAATTACCAAAGTAGTCCCTTGACTATTATAAAATTACCGATTTGATCATCGACTACCATTCTTACTCAATTAAGTCCTTTAACTATGTAAACCTTACTCAATTTAGTCCGTTGTTGCTAACACTATGCGTCTCCGTGTGTTTTAGAGACAATGATGTAATTTCACATGTTTTCTTACTCAAATTAGTCCTCTGACTATGTAAAAATATTCAAAATGGTCCACTCTTATAAAATTGGGTGGAGAAGAGTCAAAGATGCTAAACATCATAAATCTATCTCAGCTTCTTTCATTCTAAACCTCTAATATCCTGAAATAATTACACTTGAAATGCTATAACATCTGTTCAGCAACCTGTGAGGAGAGCAGAGGCAATGGCTGGATACGATCAATATCTTCATAGATTCTTTCTCCTAGTTGCCCCTTCTCCATCGAAATAATAATAATAAAAATGGAAGTGAAACAAAGAAGATGATGAAGAATGAAAGCCAAACCAAAGGAAACAATACTCGACCAAATGAGTACATGCAGATGGTGGGGAACATGGTGGATTAGTTAATAACTCCGGCATCCAATGGTTCCCAAAAGAAATTTAATTTGCTGTTTTGCAAGCTAACTTTAGCGGCTTTGAGATGGCGTACGCTCTTGGACAGTGTACCCCTGATTTATCTAACGTTGACTTCTAATTACTTCTCTTACCACACTCTTTCTCTATAATTAAAAGGATAAACCAGGAAATGGGCGTAACACTACAATAAAATGGATTTCTTGCTTGTATGATCACGGAACACATGTTCGGCTCTCCGGTACTCCCTACAAAATAATCAAAATAAGACTTAGCAAAAAGGTAAAAATCTCTGTCGACTGGCTCGTATTCATCATCGAGCACCGGCGGTATGGCCATATATGACACGCGCAGCGGAAGGAGTGCTAGAAAAAGAAGCTTCTCCACTGGTGGTGTGGAAGTGGTGGAGATTGCTGGAACTACTGTTGGAACCAAGTGAGAGATGTGGGGTACTTTGTTGCCATGTTTAATGGTTTGGGGTTGCTAAATAGGGAGGAGGAAGAAAGCTTATAGAAAAATAATTTTGCCCTCAATTTTGACATTCAACAAACAGAAAATTTAACAGAGGATCAAATTGGATAAAAATTACATAGTTGAGGACTACATCGTGTAAGAATGATAGTTAAGGACTAAATTGATAATTACGACATAGTCAAGGGACCATTTTAGTTATTAACTCTAATAATAATAAACATAACATTGGTCTACATATATAACAAACAAACTCTTAGCTTATTACTTGCAGTCACTTTAATTTGCAAGCTGAAGTAGCTACACAACAGTCTCATCAAAGTAGAAACCTTAGCCTACTTGCTAAAATACACAAGCTTAAAGCTTTAGCTAGCTAGTAAGCTATCACCAACCACATCTACACTTCTGCATACACAGTCAACTCTACCATTATTAACTTATTTATTTGTTTATCACAACACTTTACTACACAAACCTTCCAACTGCATCGATATCCTCCCTCCCTACCTCTTTAATTATTAATACATCCGTAAAGGCAAGAGGCTATAACTTTATCAAATATAAAATATATGACACGAACTCGATCACAAGATAACTAATTAAAGTTGCCATCCATCCATGAAATTTCACCTATTTGGCACGTTCTGTACTAATTGTTCACCACAGCAGCAGTGTTATCAGTGATGTTGTTAGTACTCAAAGAGGCTATGAGACTCTCATCATTATTGTTGTTCATTATTACTGTTTTCTGCTCGCTACTTGTGGTGGGAACTTGATTGGTCTGTGGAGGTGCTGGCTTTGCCTTGTTCCGAGGTGGTGTCTTCGTCGCCGCGCATCTTCTGAACATCCATCACAAAACACATCAATAAACAAACAGATCCAATTATTATTAATCAAAATTTTCATGCATGCAGCTCATCAATTTTATATATAGGATGATGTCCTTATGAAAAATCTTTCGTGAGTTCATGAGAACCAATCTGCTACATTAAAAAAAAAATAGATCTATGCATAAGATTAATTAGAGACTGAGACTGAGCCAAAGGGGGGCGGGGGGCAGCTGCCCCCCTCACCCCACCCCACCCCATATATAATATTTGTATGTATATATGTATATATCTAGTACAAGTTTTAGTATTAGTATAAAAAAAAATTTATTAAATGTTAACAAGAATAGAGTTGGACCAGTTGGTAGAGCACATGTTTGGTAATAGTAAAAGTTAAGGGTTCAAATCCTTTTAGTATTAACATAGTTTTAATTATGTTTTTAAAATTATCTCTTTTGTTTTAATGTTTCGCTTTTACTGAAAAAATTTTATGAATCTGTCCCTACTGCTTCGCCTCCCCCCCTCAATCGAATTTCTGGCTCCGTCCCTGATTAGAGAATTAAAAACGCACCATATATGAAACTTATCCATAGATCTATTTTTCAAATGGACCAGATTGGTTCATATATATATATATATATATATATATATATATATATATATATATATATATATGATACAGTGAAATTAAAACTTAACTGTGCATACATGATGCATGCAATTAACCTAAGCACAAATGAAATTAAATTAGAAGACTTACATTATTATGGTGTTGAGCTTCAACATGGGAAAACTTGGCATGGCAGTCTTGGGAATGAACCTGCAAAATAGAGCCATTCTTGGCTGCACTTGTATCTGCAGTATGGAGGATCGGAGGAGTGCTCTTAATTGCAGAGATCTTTCAGAGAGTTAGTGTATATTATTGTTGATGTAAAAAGAGAGAGATACACACACATATATATATACAAGTCTTGTATATATGTTCAGAAGGATTACAATCATTTACCACAAGCGACAAAATTCCATCCACTAACTATTCAATTGATTAATTATAAGAAAGACTTGCTTTTTGTTCAAAGATGACTTTTCTACCTAGCTTTTGTTGTTTTCATTACTTTCCAATATTACTGTGTCTCTGTCGTTCACACCTTTTTTGTCGTCTAATTATTACTGAGGGATTTTTTTAAAAAAATTTTAATGTATAGTTTTCCACTTCGATCTATCTGTTTTCTTATTAGTATTTTCGGAAAATTATCATTATGAACGTTTGGACCTTGAGAATATAATAAATTTTGAAGTTTTATAATAAATACATTTTTTGATCACGATAGTCGATATGTATGAACAACCTCAACTTTCCAATTTATATATAATTTATTTATTTATTTACTTATTTAGTTTTTATTTAGAAGACCTGGACTTGATCACATGTCAATTGTTTGACTCAAAAGCCAGATTGGAATAATTTTAATATTCCAGTCAAATAATCCGAGTATGAATGCCAAAGGGCAGACTAGCTAGCCAGTTCCCATTTAATTCATATGTACTTCCAAAGAAATTGAATTTCTTAAATACAATTTATCACGCAAAAATCAATTATGTTGTCCATGCATTGCGAGTAAGAAATTTAATTTCTAATAGGGTTGCTTGGAAACTAGAAATATAATTTCCAAAAGTTATTTTCAATTTTTTTGTTTGATTATTTTAAAAAAATTAAATTAATGAAAGATACCCATTATAGTCAAAAGAAAATGATTGATTTTGATGGAAAATAGTTTCTAAAATATTTACTCAAAATTAATTTTTTGGATTTCTATCGTATCTAACGTTTGACACACACACTCTCTCTCAAGTCGGATTAAATCAAGCCAAATAATATAAAAATCTTAAGCCGACCTGTCTCGCAACCCAAAAATGTTTTAAAAGTAAAATTTAAAATTTTTTATTCAATTTCTTTAGATTATAGTTATTACATTTATAAATTTATGAATTTATTTTTATTATAATTAATTACAATTTAAATCATTTATTTACATTTTATTATAATTACTGTTAATTTTTTGTGACTAATTAATTAACTATATATATTATTTTTAATTTATAACTATTTTAATGTAAATAAATCCACAATGTAAGTATAAGGATACAGTGTTTAACTTAAAAAATAATTATTGTTATCATTATTAAAAATAATTAATATTGTATACATTTATTTTAATTATATAATTTCACTCCTATTTTTATTTGTTGAACATTTTTTTTATTACGCATTACGTTTTGTAATTAATTATAATTTTTAATAAGCATCAAACTCACGTTCAACCTGACTCGGTAATATGTGTACATAAAATAATGGTATTTGGTAATATGAAGTTGAATGGAATCTGGCAACCTCATAAGAATACAAACTTAGGTAGGTCAGCTGATATAATCATATAATGATTCCAACAATAAAATAAAATGTCACACCTTCTCCAATCAATTTTATTTAATTGAGGGGTGGTCAGTAAAATTGGTGGAAAATCTTTATACTAGCCGATCACGTGGAACCACTTTTTATTTGTCTATACCACGTCCACACTCACGCGCGACCGCAGTTGACCCAAAAATATTTTACTATAGTTTTTATTTTTTATTTTTATTTTTTAAAAAGCAAAAACGGTATTAGATTACTGAATAAAAACTGATCTGAGACAAAATCAGGCGGACATAGTCCCAATACAACGAGTAAGTCTGAGAGTAGGCCGTTGTAGCTAACGTGTGAGCTAGCATATTAGTGTATCTAGGAACTAATAAGACGGTACAATAATCAGAAAAGGAACGCGTGCAGTGATATTCCTACAATCATTATTAATGATTCCAACATATTACCAGAGCTCAACAGTAGGAATCATTAAATTGTAATGTAGGGAAGAGCAGTCAGTGTGTAGTTGAACAGAAGTTATCCTGCAATCCTTCAACCATGATAACACCTATTTGCATGCTAAGAGCATCCACATTGGTTGGGGAGAATGAGGGGATAATGTAAGAGTGATTAGGAAAGAGAATGTGGGAGGGGAGAAAAAAAAAAAAACAAAAAACAAAAAAAAAAAAATTAAAATAAAAAAATAAGTAATCAGACGCGTCAGGCGCGCCTGACGCGCCACCGGGCGCGTGCGCTTCTTCTTCTTTTTTTTTTTTTTTTTTTTTAAAAAAAATTTTCTGACATTATGCCTACACTTGCAGGACAACTATTTCTAAATTATCTCCCCCCCCTCCCCCCCCCCCCCCCCACATTAGTTATTATCTCTACATGGGAAGAAAGCAAACTGAAATAACTCCACATTATCCACTAGTGTGGATGCTCTAAGGTCTCTGCCATGAGAGGGCAGGTACAAGTTGGTAGAGCTCCATTAATGGCGGCCACAAAGTTTCTAGCTGCCGAGAAGAGCATTGCTCCGAAGGTGGCCTTGTTTGTTGACAGAAAAATCCTGCATCAAAATAGCATGAGTTAGTATGCTCCCAGCCGGTTTCCAAAGAATCCGGAAAAGCTAAATGTCTCGAGCGGTGGAGCACTGCAACTCCGTCCACGCCATTAACCTGCCTCCATGGACGTACTGCCGCCTCGCCTCCATCCACATACATTTCTTGTAAGATTTTCCCTTATAATATATATTGATATTATATATTAAGGCCTTAATTAAGTGGTGCAAGTTGACTAGGCTTATTAAGTGGTGTGGTTGGACTTAATAACTAGTAGCTGTTAGTCAACCAAACTCTGTGCCTAATATAATCCTGTATTGATGGGATACAGGATGGTTGTTGTTAGCACATTCAGTTACGGTACTCAGACCACTCAGTAGATACCAATACACCATCTAGGGTTCTGAGTCAGGTCTGAGGCAAAACATGGCTGACGGTCTACCGTTAAGAGGCAACACAACAGGAACATCAACTATGGCTGGAGATCAAGATGGCTACGCTTCCGCTATCATACGAGGTTAGGTTTCTCGTATACTATGGTTCATATAGTTAGACTATTGTATATCTAACATTTGGTATCAAAGCCTTTATAATCTCTGTCTGGTTGATTTTTATGCCTAAAATCAACAATTAAGATTTTCATATACGTTCAGTTTTGTATATGTTAATCTCTACATAGCCTTGAATTACGTATGTATATTTTGGGTGAATTATTTGTGATTCATTTGGATGGCTAGAATTTACAAAAGAATCTAACCCACTGCCTTCATTGAGTATTGCCGGAATTTTTGTTGTCTGGTGGAGGACTGTAACACCCCGTGTTACGGCCCCTAAAACCATTTAATTAATCAATCAATAGCCCAAGAGAAGGAATAAATCATAATGATTAATTAGGGAAAAAGGCCCACCATAGTCCATGGGCCCTCATATATAAACCCAACCCCTAAACCCAATCCTTAGTTCCAAAAGGAATAGAATTAGCGAGCCTATAATATTAGTTCCTAATTAGGACTCCTAAATATATAAATAGGGGACTTAGGAGACACCTAGAACTTCCCACAAGAATAACGCCCCACCACCCCCAAAAGAGCTCCAAGAATCCCCTTAGGAGAAATCAAGAAAGCAAGGAAGCTTAAAGAAAGATCCTTCATAGCCAAGGAATTAATTAAGGCTAAGAGGTAACCCATGTCTCAACAAAACCTATTTTCATAGCTATGATTTCCCCCTTAGGGTTTCCCCATATTATTGTGTATCAATGACTTGTGATGATTATTATTGATTATTGATGTGATGATCCCATGGGGGATCTTGATAATCTTGATATTGGGAGATTCTTGATAGTTATGATATTCTTGATGATTATATGGAGTTCTTGATGATTATGTGTTGTTCTTGATAATTGGGTGATGCTCTTGATGTTTATGTGTTATTCTTACCGAATCTTGCAATTAGAAGACGAACCGTATTCTTGTTGATATAAAAGTGATTAGAACCCTAGGTTGTATCGTATGATCTTATTCTTGGATTATCGGGTGGGGAAATCGCATGTTTGGGTGCTGATTATATTTAGAAAAGCATGATAGGTTATGTGCCATTCGTTTCTTATATTTGATTCGTTAATTGTCTACGTGTTGTCGTTAATTGCGTTGTAAAGTGTCTAAGCATGATTTCGGATTCCACGATGGTTCCCGGGACGTTTTTGGTGTGAAAAGAGTCAGTGGGGGGTAGGGGACCCGCCTCCTACCCACGGCCGAGATTTCACTTCCGGCAGCGGGCAGCTGCCCGCCGGCGACCCGCTGCCCGGAATAGTAAAACCGGCGGGCAGCCGGCGGGTGGCCCCCACCCACCGGCTACCCGCTGGAAATTCCCCCACCCCGGGATCCCGGCTTCCCCGCTTGATGTTCCCCCGTTCCCCGTGGCGTCCCGACGGACTCCGTTATCGTGCCTATGTCTAGTTTGATGTTTCGGGTACCGTTCGTAGGTTTACGAGTCTATTGTATTGCATGCTAGTTGAATTGGTATCCCGTTGCCCTAGGTCGAAGGAGTATGAACCCCTTAGGACTATTCTTAGTATGTGATGGATCACACATAGGCTTTGTTATACGTTTTCTCCCCCTTCCTAATTTGTAATGTGGGTTGCATGTGCTTGCTATGTGTTATGTGTGTGTTACCCCAATTCGGTTGCGATCGGATTGGTTTTATCCTGAGCTGCGGTTCAGAAGCTGGCTGCGGTCAGATTGATACTCTTGGGCTGCGGTCCACCGTTTGGTTGCGATCAAACGTTTCTATACGAGCTGCGGTTCGTCCTTTTTCCTGGCTGCGGCCAGATGACATTCACTTGGGCTGCGGTCCACTGTTTGGTTGCGATCAAACACTATGATGAGCTGCGGTTCATCGGTCGGTTGCGATCGAACCCTCCGTGTTGCGATACGGGGCAGGGTGCTGCGGGGCTGTGTCAGAGCTATATGCGCTGACCCTCATGTA